TGACGTCAGGAAAGTTGCAGGATACAGTATCAACACTCTGATGTGCTTTATATACTGTAATGAACACCTGAAGAGGAAATTCAAAAAGTGGTATCATGTATAATGTACCACCCAAAGAATAAAATACTGTGAAATAAATTAACCAAGGAGGTGAAAGACCTCTAAGACTGAGAATTGTAAAACACTGCTAATAGAAATTAAACATATTTAAATAAATGGAAAAGACACAGCATACAATAGACTGGAAGATTTCATATTTTTAAAGATGGTAATATTGACCAGAGATTCTATAAGACACTATCAAACTTCTAAAAACCATTTTTGTAGAAGTGGAAAACATGATCCAATAAATATGGAACAGCAGTGGGCCCAAAGGGTCCAGACAATATTGAAAAAGAAGAATTGTATAGAATGGATAGACAAAAGGCAGGCTGGTAGTTTCCAGGGACTGGGGACAGAGGAAAATGTGGAGAAACTGCTCAATGGGTAAAACAGTAAATTGGAGTGCTGGAAATGTACAACAAGATAGAGGTAGTAGGGGGGTCCCTGGGTGGCTCAGTGGTTTAGTGCCTGCCTTTGGCCCAGGGCATGATCCTGGAGTTCAGGGATTGAGTCCTACGTCAGGCTCCCTAGATGGAGCCTGCTTCTCCTTCTGACTGTGTCTCTGCCTCTCTCTCTCTCTCTCTCTCATGAATAAATAAATAATATCTTAAAACAAAAATAAAGATAGAGGTAGTAGGTGAACAATTGCTAAATGCATGAAAGCCAATGAATTATTTACTTTAAAATTAATTTAATGTTAATGTTAATTTTATGTTATGTGAATTCCACTCTAATAAAGTGTTCTTTTTAATTAAAAAAAAAAAAGTTTTTTTCTGAAGACTTCATTTGAGAGAAAGAGCACAAGCAAAGGGAGAGACAGAGGTAGAGCAAGAAGCAGACTCCTGGCTAAGCACTGAGCCTGACATGGTGCTAGATTCCAGGACCCTGTGATCGTGACTTGAGCTGAAGGCCTAACCAAATGAGGCACCCAGGCACCAGCTAAAGTATTCTTTTTAAACTAACGATCTAAGTCATTAATTTTGGAAAATATCTAAAAATAAATATTTTCCAATTGTAGTATGTTAAAATTAGAAACTAAGTCTGGGGGCAGTCCTGGTGGCGCAGCGGTTTGGTACCGCCTGCAGCCCAGGGTGTGATCCTAGAGACCCGGGATCGAGTCCCATGTCGTGTTCCCTGCGTGGAGCCTGCTACTCCCTCTGCCTGTGTCTCTGCCTCTCTCTATGCCTCTCTCTCTTTCTCTCTATCTCTCAATAAATAAATAAAATCATAAAAAAAAAAAAAAAGAAACTAAGTCTGTTACTATTATGGAAAAATAATAGTTTCTCTTAGGATGGCTTCCTCTCATTACCTGAAATTCTATCATGGATATCTCAACATAATTCCACACATGAAAAAGACATGAGGTGAGGGATCCTTTTACTATATGTAATAGTAAACATATAATTATCGTGAATAAATAAAAATCACTATGCATTTGCCCAAAATTAGTAAATCCTGAATTAATGAAGATTATCAAGAGACTACAGATAGGGAGATGATTCTTAAAAGAAAACATCTGGGGCAGCCCCGGTGGCGCAGTGGTTTAGCACCGCCTGCAGCCCGGGGTGTGATCCTGGAGACCCGGGATCGAGTCCCACGTCGGGCTCCTTGCATGGAGCCTGCTTCTCCCTCTGCCTGTGTCTCTGACTCTCTCTCTCTCTCTCTCTCTCTCTCTCTCTCTCTCTCTGAGTTTCTCATGAATAAATAAATAAATAAATCTTAAAAAAAAAGAAAAAAGAAAAAGAAAACATCTGAAACAAAATTTAAAAATCTATAAAATTCATATAAAGTAAAAAAAAATTATGTTTAGACTAAAATATACCAAAGAAAAACGAAGGTGTCTCAAGTAACTAATTATGTATGAACTGCCTCTAATTCCGGGATGAACACAGTCACTTACAAACAAAAATATATTCTCAAGACATCCAATATTCCCAATTTAAAAAATCCAAACTCATTCAAATGAGAAAAGGCTTTTTAAAAGTTTTTTTTTTTTTTTAAAGTAATCTCTATGCTCAACATGGGAGTTTGAACTCGTGACCCTGAGATCAACAGACTCATGCTCTTCCAACCAAGCCAATCAGGCAACTTGAGGAAAGGGTTTCTTAATAATTAATTATATATCAAGAAACACTCCTAGAGAAAGGATAACTACAAATATATTTTCCCTATTCTAGAGGTTATATAGGTTTTGGGAAAACACCCAATCAGCTATAACCCTTAACATTCAGGAAGGAAATCTTATAAAATATATAAAATAACATTCATTTCCTGATCAAATAGTCCCACAAACTACAGGTATAAAATAAAAACCACTGATGATGAGTATCATGAAAAACACATAACCAATGATGAAATACATAAATAAAAAGATCATTTGCAATACATGCAAATCAAAGGAACATGCAGATCAAAGGAACAGCAACTACAGAAATGGGGTAGAGCTCAACAAGGTAGGCATCATGAATTCATAAATTCACTCAAAACAATAAATCAACAACTTATTTGTTGAGGAAAGAACAGCATACATATGGAACGAACACTTACATGAACAATTGTTCAGTCAGCAGTATCACAGATGGGGTTATGAAGGCTGACAATTTTTTTTTCCCTAAAATAAACTCCTGTACTTGTTCATGCTAAATCAAGAGGGATGATCCTTAATGTACTGCATCAACACTGCCACAATGATCTTGAGAGATACTTCCATGACACACGAAAAGCCAGAGGAGGGATCCCTGGGTGGCGCAGCGGTTTAGCGCCTGCCTTTGGCCCAGGGCGCGATCCTGGAGACCCGGGATCGAATCCCACGTCGGGCTCCCGGTGCATGGAGCCTGCTTCTCCCTCTGCCTGTGTCTCTGCCTCTCTCTCTCTCTCTGTGTGACTATCATAAATAAATAAAAATTAAAAAAAAAAAAATTATAAAAAAAAAAAAAAAAAAAAAAAGAAAAGCCAGAGGAACAACTGGAGCCATAAGCCAGACTCTCAGGCTATATTCAATATCAGCATCCAGAACATGTTGACCATTATGCTCAGATGCTCCAGGGCCCATGTCTATACTTCCGAGGATATGCGGTGACATCTAAATATAAGTATTATTCAATCAGAATGTTCTTTGACCCAGTAACACTCCTCATGGGAGACTTCACCACAAGCTGTCCAGCAACTAAAGGCTGGGTTATCACAGCAGAAAATATGAGAATAAATTTTCAGACACTGAGGAACTGTAGTTCAGAACCAAGAAAATTTCAGAGGCAAACCATCCAAACTTATGAGACCAGGAAATCAGAAGAGCCAAGACTTTCCCACACTCACAGACTAAAGAGGAACTGCAAAAGGGAGACAAAATAAAAACAGTAAACTAAAATAAAGGGGTTCAACTCTGTGGGATATTCAAACAGGACCTGGGGTCTGCCTGTAGTCTTCAGGCTGAGGGCCTGAAGCCTGAGATATACTCCCCTTGAAGGACTGGGAATCAAACAAAGGTTTTCCTCACCCATTGTCTATACAGCACTGCTGAGTAGCAATCTCAGAAGAACGACTCTATTCCTAGTACACATGCCACTGAGGGGTGAAAGTGGACATGAGGATATGGTGGAGGCACAGCACAGGCAGAGGGCTTGAGAAAGCACATGCACCTGCCTCGAGCCCTAGACGCAAAAGAGCAGCCAATGTTTCTACCATGATAGGTCACTCAGCACCTGAAACTGAATGCAAGCTGGAGAAAGCCCACAGTCAGGGTGAGGGGTGGCATCAGATCAGATATGTGTGACTGACCAGAGAAGGAGAGGCCAAAGGAGGAAGAATGGCCCTCACAAAGAGCACTCCATGTGCTCCTCAAGGCTGAACCACTAAAGGGCCCCAGGGGCAGAAACCAGCATATCTGGTCAGGATGAAGACTTTGCCCTTGTTGTGGATGAGAGCTGCAGTACCACTGAGGAGGGCAGGAAACATACATACAAAGAAGAGAGTAAGGGAGGGACAGAACAGGTTCCTTTGAGAGTCCATGAAAAATCAACTCTTCTTTTCAAACCACCTATCCCATCTGGGGAGAATATACCAAATGGCATTTCAGGAAGTCACTTCCTCTCTGCCACCTGACTCTTACTGGTGTTCAGATCTTTGACGCCTTCCCACGCACCTGGGTTTTGCTGCTAGTTTCACCCCACTCTTGAGGTTACAGAGCTCTCCCTTGCTCCACAATGGCGTTAATATTCAGCTCAGAAAGAGATTCCTGCTGACATGGAAACCAGTAGATGATGTCCTGGGGTATTCCCAGCCCTTTGTCAGCTGAGACCAAGGACATTCATTACAGATGGGTCTAGAATAGCACTTCACAGATTTGTTCGCTGACACTTTTCTTCCAAATGCTTAAAAATGTTTGACACATACAGATATCCAGCTCTCTTCCCAGAACTACTGAATCAAAATTATAGAAGTAGAGACACCTGGGTGGCCGACTGAGTGTCTGCCTTTGGCTCAGGGCATGATCCCGGGATCCAGGATTGACCTGTGTCGGGCTCTCTGTGGGGAGCCTGCTTCTCCCTCTGCCTATGTCTCTGTCTCCCTCAATCTTTCTGTATCTCTCATGAATACATAAATCAATCTTTAAAACAAACAAAAAAAAATTATAGGAATAATACCAGGCAATCTGGTATTTTTAAGTTTTGACATGAGGTCTTGTTACTCCTCAACCTCTAGCACCACCACTAACCTGCAAAAGTGGGAGGTGGAGAGGTAGGCTAAAATCCATATGCCGCAATGGGAAGCTTTTTATTTCTGAATCAATAGGACTTCAATCTCAGTGAAGCAGGGCAGGAACTTCCAAGAAACTCCCAATAGAAACACAAAGATACCCCAGGACAGTTCTCAACCTCTGTAGGGAAATTAATCCTCACCCAGGGAGACCAGGTTCCTGTAGTTTTCCAACATCACATCCCTGTACAAGGCCCTCTGGGCAGCGTCCAGGCACTCCCACTCCTCCTCAGAGAATTCTATGGCCACATCCCTGAAGGTCAATAGTTCCTGAAATGAAAGCACATTTCACCACGAGGCCATCAGGAGAGTACTTATTTCACAAAAATGAGAGGAGGTAGAAGGGTCAGTTAGAATTGAGTGCCGGAATAGATTCATTAAAGACCATTTGAGCAAGTCATATGTCCCTGATTTTGATTTATTAAACTTGACCATCACAGCATTTCCATCAGCTAAACTGAGGATTTTACAATACTGTGACAGATAAAACACCCAAATGCAAAAATATCGACAAGTGGTAAAATATATGCAAGTTCTAGGTAGTATGTCGCATATACTAAATGACAGGTAATTTTTGTGTTAGCTACAGCATGAGTAGTGTCTCAGCGATGACTATACAGTCTATATAACAGTGTCAATGAAAGGTATAAATTGCAAAATGGGAATCTCTTGATAGAACCATCTAAAGTACTGAACACTCCGTATATAGTAAGCATTATTCTAATGCTTTACAAGCATTAAACCATATAAACACATTGTATCCAATTAAATTAGTATTTCTTCCCATCTTGCACAGGACCCAAGTCTGTCACATATACTCTAATGAACATGCCCCATATTAAACAGGTAATAAAATGAAACAAGGGGTCGGGCTTTAGGATGGAACCCACACCACCACACGGTGAAGTAACAAACACAACAGTAAAAGTCTGTTGACAAAGAGGGTTTGCTAATGGAGAAAACCTGACACAAGTCCAAGGCTGAAACACAAACCTGGATGAAAGGCCAATATACATACATGCATACACACATGCATAAACACACTATTTTTACTGCTATTAACTTTTTTATGTGGTACTATAGAAAATATTTAAAGCCATGAAAAATATCTCAGACATACTGTCAAGATAAAATAAAGGTTATTTATGAGATGATAACATCTTTTTTACATACTACAGGCTCTGGCCCATACACACTTTTGCACACAGGAACAAACACACACTGAAAATAACTGAGATCAAAGCTGTAGTCTCTAGATGACACCTATTTTTAGAATATCTCTTTGTTATCCTTTTTTATCCAAGTTCATTTGAGTATTTCTGGTACAATAAACATGCATAAATTGTATTAAACGTAAAGAACACTGTCAGTGTTACTCTATTTAGCCTGCTTACACAAATAACGCTGTGAAAAATTTTTTTGGAATAACATTTCACTTCTACCTCCATTAAATAAATGTACGGAAGTGTATGAGCTGGAATGCACATGCAGAGAGCTGCTGAAGGAAGGCCCTGGGGTGAATGTGAGCAAATACATCAGGAGAGACACTTGAGAGGGAAAAGAGCTAGCCCAAGTGGAGGTGAGGACGCAGAGGACAGAACAAGGAACTGAGCTAGGACTTTACCTGAGAAAGAGTCATTCCTGATTCTTAGGCTTTCCTCCTCTGCCTCCTCTGGGCTTCTCTTCCAGGCGAGATGGGCCTTGAGACAACAATCCTGAGTGTCAAATATACACTGTTTAGCGCTTAGTCAACGTACACGTTTCTGTGCCACAACCACACACACAGGAAGATTTCCCCACGTGGTAGTCAATCCTCTGCTGCCCACTGCCACAGGAGGAATGCAGGGACAGTAGACTGCTACACAGAGACCAGCAAGTGAGCATTCTGGCCTCTTACTGCAGAACTCACTTCCCTCCTGGTGAAGCACACACCTGAGCTGCAGCAGTGGGGATCTATGCACCCTCCCTTTAAAGTCACAGACCCACCCTGCTAACCCCCCATACAGAGGACGAGGACACACAGCACTTTCTACCTCTCTCTAGATCAGGGGCTGCTTTCAGTCCTCATTAATGGAGGAGCCAGAGCCCTGGGGCTTGATGCTGGATACAGAGGCTGGCCTCTATTGCTCCCAAACACAAGAAGAGAAATCTCTGTGGACTGGGCATAGGAAGATTATGCAAAATGCCTCAGCAATGCAATGGCAAGTCAGGGTGGAGCACCACTCCAAGGAAACCAGCTGCCCACCCCACCCACCTGTGGTTCTGCTACCTCCTAGGGCCCTGTCCCCTGTATCTAGATGGTGCAAGAGGAAGGAGCAGAGAGACTCATGCTGAACAGGCATTACAGGCCAGAGCATGGAGTGGGGATGAGGCTGGAATGGGACATGGCAGTGTGCGAGATGGCCTCACTAGAAGGTGATATAACAAAGACCTGGAGAGGAAGTTCACCATGTACATTCGAGGAATTTGAGAATTCTAGGCAGAGGGACCACCTTAGGAAAGCCCTAAGAGGGAGTCCTGACCCTGGCCCCAGGAACAGCAAAGATATCTGTGGGCCTCAATCCCAGTGAGGGAGGAGACCAGCATGGGATCAGATCACAGAAGTAGATCAGGAATGTCCAGCGTGGTCTTCTGACACTGTTCTCCTCCACCCCACGTGAATCTTGGAAGCCGTGTACTCTTTCACCGATATTGCCTTTTTCTCCCCCTCACTATGTATTACAAAAAAATGTAATGTGCTATGTATTTTGAAAGCCTGCCAAGATGGTCACCAAAGCCCAGGAAGATGGCACTACTCTGAACTGGGAGGTGGAGGACCACAGGGAACACAAATGGAACACCTCTAGGAAACAGGAGGTCATGTTTGGACACTGTAAGTGGAGATGTCCCAATAGAAATGTCAGAGACACAGTTGGACAACACAATCTGGCATTCAAGGCAGAGGTCTGAAATGGAATGTAAACCTGGGAGACCTCAGGGTGTTTAAAGGCCAGAGATAAGGGGATATCAAAAGTCCCTGGGTGTACAGAAGAGGTCCATGACTATCCCATGGGGTGCTCTTCCCATCAGAGAACAGAGTTGAGGAAAAATCGGCAGAGGAAGTGAATCAGCTGAGAAGTGAACAGAGTGGAGAGAAGAAAATTAAAACACACACAAATAAAAGATGACATCTGTCAATACTGGATGTCCCGAAAGTCAGGATAAAATATCTTTAAAATAAGGAGAGATTACTGTTCAACATGTTGCTAATCAGATAGATAAAGACAGTGAGTTAGCCAGTTTTAGAAAACGTAAAAGCACCAGATCAGTTTCCTGTCCACAATTTCTTTGGGTAGGTACCCACAGGTGGATCTGGTGGATTATCTGAAAATGCTGTTTATTTTTTTAAAGAAATCACTAACATTTTTTCAATAGGGAACACACCATTTATAGTCCTTGGAGTAGTGCACAATACTTTCAGTTTCATCCCATTCTCTCCAGTGCTTATCATCTTTTGAACCGTACCCATTTTTTTTTTTAGCATAGCCCCACAAGGGGGCATGATTTGAGTTGCAGTCCCCTAATCATTAGTAACATTGAGCATGTCTACATGAACTTACTGGCCATCCATCTGAAGAAATATCTATTGTGGTCTTTTGCCTATCCTTTTTTTTTTTTTTTTGCATTAATCTATTTTTCTTTTGTTGTCTTGCTTTCTGCTGTCATATCCAGAAGTCTGGATTTTTATACATGAGGGCGATGGGAAGCCAGTGGAGAGTTCAATGCCAGGGTTTGACAAGACCTGACTTCAGATTTACTCTGTAAATGTATCCTCTGGCTCTGAGCCTAGGCCTTGCCTCTTTCCTCACAGTATTTTTCATTGTTGTTGGGTTAGGACCAACTTAATCTTCTAATCACAACTGTAACCATCCTGCAGAAAAATACCACACAGACACACATGCAAAATTTCAGTTGCTTTAGGGATCACGGTCATTCAGATTTCCTGCTCTTGTCCTTCATCTCCATGCTGCAGCTGGGTTCACCAAGCCCTAGGAGGGAAGCCTTTTCACAAGTTACCTTGAGAACACCTGAGTTCAGTGGGAACTACATGTAACTGAATTTTGGAAGGGTGGCCTAAATGAGGCATGGGGCACTTTGCCTTTATCCTTATCATCTCATGTCTTTTTCAAAAAGTCCATGTGCCTGGCTGTCTCAGTAAGTACAGCATGGGACTCGAACTCTGGATCCACAGAGCAAGCCCCATGTTGGGGTGGAGCTCACTTAAATAAATTGGTAAATAAATATAAAGTGCACTCCCTTAAAAAAAAAAAAAAAAAAAAGGACACACACGCAAAAAAAAAAACCCCAAAAACATTAAAAAATGAAAAATTCCAGAATCATCTAAAATATGCCTGAGCAAAAGAAACTTCTTTCATGGTCTTAATCAATGGGGAAATATTTTTTTTAATATATTTTTTAAATTTATTTATGATAGTCACACAGGGGGAGAGAGAGAGAGGCAGAGACACAGGCAGAGGGAGAAGCAGGCTCCATGCACCGGGAGCCCGATGTGGGATTCGATCCCGGGTCCCCAGGATCGCGCCCTGGGCCAAAGGCAGGCGCCAAACCGCTGCGCCACCCAGGGATCCCAGTGAGGAAATATTTTTAACATGATAATTCAAAAAATGATAAATCAGATTTAGTACTGAATACTGTGAAAGTGGATCAGCTACGGAAACAAACTCTGAGCCTATTACTTCACCATGAATAGATCAGTTCTACTGGAACAAAGTTCATAGTCCATCCAGCCCACCTTCATTATGTTCATACAACGGACCTGTGGGACCTGAAGGGAACATCTATTTTGGAGCTGACATCTTACTTATTAGACCAATCACATCAAGGAAGGAGAGATGCTGTCAAAGATTACACTAACTTACTAAGCTAGGTTCTGATTATGTAGATCATGGACACCCTTACCAGATACACACTGTAATAGTCCAAAATCATTTACTAACGACAAAGGAATATTCCAACATATGGTAACAAGTAGAAAGAACGCAGGGCTTGTCACTTGAAGCACATAAAAAATATTTTTTAAAACCAGGTTGGAATTTTTTAAAAATCTAGTATCTTCTGGGGTCAAAGCTTTAATTTCTTTTTCTTTTTCTTTCTTTTCTTTTCTTTTTTTTTTTTTTTTTGAGAGGGAGAAGGTGAGAGAGTATCCCAAGCAGACTCCACCCCCAGCACAGAGCCTTAGCTGGGGCTCTGACGACCCTGGGATCATGATCTGAGCTGGTATCAAGGGTGTCAAGAGTCAGATGCTTAACAGATTCAGCCACTGAGGCAACCCATGGGGGTCAAAGCTTTCACCATAATGCAACCACCTAGTATTTAGAAAAGATTCACAAGAGCTGGCTTAAGATGTCGCCAAAGCTTATCGCAGAAGCTTGTAATGATTCTTTACAGAATAGATGTCCAATACACCTCAATTTGGTTTAAAAAAACTAAATGTAAACGAAGTAGCAAGAAAAAGTAAATCCATTTAAAAGAAAAAGAAACACTTTTAATGTTGCTTTAAAAAGCATCATGCACGGACTCATTCTGTAATTTGTAATTCTAGGCCATCTTCCCATGCCATCCCAGGATAGGAGGGTGACCCATAAGACTAAGACAGTCTCTCTCCTCTCTCTGGCCAATTAAAGGTAGCAAATACAAGCTAACTTATAACGCTAATAATTATAAAGCACACGAGCCTTACAAGCAGTTCTGTAATTTTCTTTCTCATCTGTTCAATTCAACCAAGCAAATTTAAAGTTGAATGCCTAATGGAGACACAAGTCCCTGTATCACAACTTAATCACCATGTCCCATTAACCAGCACCCACCCAGATCTGGGTTCCCCTGCTTTCTCTCTCCGAAGGATTTCTATTCATCTGTTCGGGTCTTTCTCTCTCCTGATTCTGGCCGCTGGTTCTCCTTTTCTGTGATTCCCCTGTCTCCTCTCTTGCTTTCTCTCCTTTTCTCTCTTCCTTTCCCTACACCAACACTTTCTGGGGAACTCTGGAAATCCTTAGTTGCTTCCAAGCGCTCCGACCGTTGGGATCTCTACATATTTCGGCCTCGCCCCCCCCCCGCCCCGCCCCACCGGTGTCCCTCTGCTCTCCCCGTCCCCTCCCCTCTTTCCTCTTACACCGCCCCCCCCCCAGCTCCGACTCACTGGCTCCCCGTCTGGCTAAGCTCTCGCACTGCCGCCGCTTTCTGTCCCCGCATCGCCTGCCCACAGCTTTTTCCTCCTTCCCACCGTGCGTGGGAAGTTCCTCGCCCTTGCTGCCCCCCTTCTGTTCACCAGGGACCCCTCCTAGGGGGTCCCCTTCTTCTGGAGCGCCTCCCTTTCCTCCACATTTCGCGGCGACGTTCCCGAGTTCCTGTCTTCCGCCCTTAGGGCCTCGTCGCCAGTCCCTCCCGCATCCTCCAGCTTGCCGTATCTTTACGGACCCTCTCTCTGATCTCTCTCCTCTCTCCCTCTTTCTCCCGCTCCTCCTCTCCCTCGTCGGCCGCTGTCCTGGCCTCCCTCCCGCAGCCACGGCTTCCACGAGGCCCCCCAATCCTCGCCTGGGGGAGGGGACCCGCTCCGTGACTCCCCGCCGCCTCCCGGACCTAAGTCCCTCCTGAGAGCCCGCCCCGAAGAGAGGGCCCTTCCCGGGCATCGGTCCTCTCTCCACAGGCGGGGCTGCCCCGCGGAGACCTCAGGAGGCTGGGGGTCTGCGCAATCCCAGGGCCAGGGCCAGCCGCCGGGCCGGGCTGCGGGGCGAGGCGCACGCGCCCCTCTCCCTGTTCTCACGCGGCGCGAGGGGCAGGGGCGCCGGGGACTGCGTGGGCCCGAGGCTCGGAAGACCCCAGGCGGGGATGGCCTCTGCACCAGCTGAACCAAAACCAGCCGGACCTCCGGGGCCGCAGCGCCGCCCGCAGGGATCCGTGTCTCTCGGCGACGCGGGACTTACCGCGGTGGGAGGCGCAGGTGAGGGGACGCTAACGTGCGTGGAGAACCCAGGCTCCAGGACTGTAGGCCTGGAGACTGAGACTGTGACGCAGAAAAGAGAATGTTAAAAAAAAAAAACATCTGAAACCTATTTGACCCTCGCTCCCGTGCAGCTACATCCGGGTTGGCGGAAAACTGCGCGTGCGCGCGGTTGGAACGCCGGAACTGGGGAAGGGGCTGTGGGTAGTGCTTCCGGTAATGGCGCTGGCGAACGGTGGCGTGACTCGGAATCGTGAGGCCCATGGCCCGGATTAGGGCGGAGTCTAGCGGAGCGCTTCCTGCTGCGTGGGGAAGCAAGTAGCGTCCGGGCCTCGCTGTGGAATTCGCCCGGCAGGATGGGCGGAACTCCTGGAATCGAAGGAAACCGTAAGGTTTGGAGCCAGTAAGACCTCAGGGAGGAGCCGGATGGAAGTTGGGGGTAGAGCTTCCAGCACTGGGCGAGCTGGAAGGGTATCTGCGTGGGCCATCCGGTGTTAGGCCAAGACCCTTTGTCCCGGCCAGGGTTGGGCATGCACGGATTGTCGCCAGCGTTCAGCGAGCCCCAACGACCCCAGGCTAGAACGGGGTCTGGATGGGGCATGGTTTCCTCGCCCCCAAGTACCTATCTTTGGAATTTCTGTCCCTTCCAGTTTCTGTCAGGTCTAGTGTAAGGGGACTGCTGCCTGCCCTTGTCTTCAACGGTTTGAGATAAAGGTCGGCGTTGTGTAAGCCTCTTGTGAAAGCTGAGGTGGTTACGTTTTATCAAGGTGAACGTGGCCTCTCTCATGAACTGTTTTGACTAAAGTTTTGAATGTGGAAAAAAAAGAACCCTCCTGCACTGTGGGAATTTACATTGGTACAGGCTCTGTGGAAGACGGTATGGAGGTTTCTCAAATAAAAGTAGAACAATATTGTAGCATTATTTATACAGCCGAATTATGGTGAAGTGTCAATTAATAGAGGAATGGATAAGATGTGGTATATATACACACACAATGAAGTATTACTCAGCCATAAAATAGAGTGAAATCTTGCCATGTCTATCAACAGTGATGGTGCTACGGGATATCATTCGGAACAAAATACATCAGAGAAAGATAAATACCGTACGATTCAACCAACAAAATAAATGAAGAAAGGAAAAACAGAGATAAAAAAAAATTCTTTGGGATCCCTGGGTGGCGCAGCGGTTTGGCGCCTGCCTTTGGCCCAGGGCGCGATCCTGGAGACCCAGGATCGAATCCCACGTCGGGCTCCCGGTGCATGGAACCTGCTTCTCCCTCTGCCTGTGTCTCTGCCTCTCTCTCTCTCTCTCTGTGACTATCATAAATAAATAAAAAATAAAAAAAAATTCTTTGAACTACAAGGTACACACTAAGGGATGCCAGAGAGGAGGTCATTGGCGGTGATGGGAGAAATGGATGATGGAGATTAAGAGCACAGTTATGATGACCACTGAGTTATGTACACAATTGAATCATTGAAAGTATACCTGAAGTGGTATCACATTGAATGTTAATTATGTTAGTATTAAAATAAAAAAACTAGGGGTGCCACGGTGGCTCGATTAAGTGTAGCTCAGGTTGTGTGATCCTGGAGTCCTGGGATTGAGCTCCATGTTAGGCTCCCTGATTAGTGGGGAGTTTCCTTCTCCCTCTGCCATCTCTCCCCCACTCAAGTGCGCACACACTCTATCTCAAATAAATAAAAAATAAAAACACTTAATGCAAATAAACTTCATTAATTGATAGACATGTGCATCCTCAATTGGCGAAAAGTACTTCATGATCTGGGACAAGGTCCTCTGTGGGGAGTGATGTGGGTCCATGCCTGGATCCAGGAATGTCTTCTGAATTAAAATGTGAACAATTTAAGAAAGGAGCGAACCTGTCTTTGCAAGGGAATGAAAACTGAAATGTGAAATGCAATACTCTACTAATGTGAAATATGCCATTATTGACCAACATTTTTCAGAATATCATTTTCATTTCTATCCCCATTCACCATGTACTCAATCCTGTGTTCTAGAGCCGATTTTAGGCACAAGATCTACAGTGTGGGAGATGGGGGTTTAGATTTGATATTTAGGTGACCAATTGCTGCTTTAAAAAATTTATTATTTTTAAGTTTTATTTTATTCATATGAGAGAGAGGCGTAGAGACACAGGCAGAGGGAGAAGCAGGCTCCATGCAGGAAGCCCGACGCAGTACTTGATCCGGGGACTCCAGGATCACGCCCTGGGCCAAAGGCACTCATTCAACTGCTGAGCCACCCAGGCTTCCCTTAATTTTTTTTTTTTTTTAAATACGGGCAACCCCGGTGGCTCAGCGGTTTAGCGCCACCTTCGGTCCAGGGCGTGATCCTAGCGACCCTGGATCGAGTTCCATTTCGGGCTCCCTGCTTGGAGCCTGTTTCCCCCTCTGCCTGTGTCTCTGCCTCTCTCTTCTTTTTGTCTCTCATGAGTAAATAAATAAAAAAAATCTTTAAATTAAAAAAAATATATATATATATACCTAGAGTTATTCTTTATCAGTGTATTACACACCTGAGGTGTCTGATAACTTGAAGTAAACCTTTGTGACATCATAATTCATTTCTCAGTAATTTCTAAATATAATTGCAAATTCCCTTTAGTTTTTTTTTTTTTTGGCGATTTTTTATCTGTATTGAGAAAGTTAAGACTTGGGTATGTAAAATTAAACCCCATTTCTGAGGGAAAAATGAAAACACATAATAGAAAACGTAAATACTGTTTGGGCCATAGCAGAACCCAGAGAATACATTGTTTTAATTGACAAATTCTGGGTATTTCATAATTGACCTTTTGGTACAACATGACCTATTAAATTTACTTTTATCCAAAGTAATATATTTTCATAAAAGATTATATTTTGGCACTTTTGTTTCTCTAATTGTAAATGTTATGTCAGGTGTGCATTACAGTACTGCTCAAGTATATATTCTTTAGAAGACTTGAATTTGTCATTTAAATTTTGCAATATTTTAGGGCCATTAATAGGCATATGAGTTTTCTTTATATGAGCACTAAGGAAAGTGAAGCTTGAATATCAGTTTTCCAAATCTGATTTATACCTTCAATAATCTTGAAGTCAATATCCATGAGTTAATATCTACATGTTTCTCTAAAACCCATGCATTAAAGATGAATTCTACAGTAAGAATTGATGATAAAGGCATTTTGGATAAAAAGACTTTTAATATGTAAATATATAAGGTTTCACTTCTGTGTACATTATGTGTTTCATAAGTGATAGCCTCTGATGTTCATCATATTTGAATTAATATATACTAAAGTTTGAGTATCATTACTCAGAAAATTCTTAAGTTTTCATTTGAAAATTAATACTGTGGTGATCTCACAAGGATTGAATTTTGGATGAAAACTTTGCCACATATATTACATTCTAAGATTTTTTTTAAATTTTTTTTTTATTTATGATAGTCATAGAGAGAGAGAGGCAGAGACACAGGCAGAGGGAGAAGCAGGCTCCATGCACCGGGAGCCCGACGTGGGATTCGATCCCGGGTCTCCAGGATCGCGCCCTGGGCCAAAGGCAGGCGCCAAACCGCTGCGCCACCCAGGGATCCCTACATTCTAAGATTTTGCTGAGGTATTTATTGATGTTTAATGTTTGACTAGGTTAAATACAGTGCCCCACTGTGTATAATTTTAAGATTTCTCCAGGAGGAATTTCTGATTAGTGAAGAATCATCCTGTCTAAAGACTTTCCAAGTTCATTACTTTTAGGGTTTCTTTGTAATATGTAGAACTGTAGTTATCAACAAAGAAGGGATCAAAACTTTTCCACCTTTATGCAAATGTTGGCTTTGACACTAGGAAGCATTCTTTCAGGTTGTGACTCTAAGAAACCATTTTGATAGATTTCTTTATTTGATTACATTTACAATGTGTATCCTGTTTTAAATGTCTGTGAATAACTTAGATATAACTGGAAGAGATTCTCCTCCTATAAATCAAATCATTTCATGCATCTGTTTCCTGTACATTAAAAAAAGATACAGTGCTGTGGATAAATTTGAGGACCTTTAGAGGGTAATTATACAGATTATGCTGTATTACAGAATACTGCCTACCAGCTATATTGGCATGAAAGAAGTTTCACAGCATGGACTCCCATGATCACAAGCAAATAAGTAACTTGTGGAATTTTCATCAAACTCTTAACAGTTGGGGAGAAGGCAATTATACTTGAAAGTCATGAGTCCATTTTGTTTATGGGGAATTTTCCTGTTTGTAAAATTTATTTTATCCTGCATTGTAAAGCTTTCCATCATGTTACATTCCCTATGGATTCTATCTCTCATGACAACTCCAGGCTGTAGTACAGTCATGGAGCTGCATCAGCCATGTGTGGAAAAGGGATACAGGAAAAATTAATCAGGTTTGACTAAGAAATAGCAGCTACCATGTTACCTTTCTCCCCCCTCAGGAAAACCCTTCAGGAAAGGACAATTAACACAACATAATAATCTGTGCTACAAGGACAGTTAATGTCTTTATTCCTCACAAATCTGAGGGTGTAAACTACTACTTCCATTCTAAAGTGGACTAAGGTACAGTATTGATTTGAGTAACTTCACATCCTGTTTAGTAGCAGACTGGGAACTTAAACCTACTGGAGGTGGGAACAAATCATATCATGTTTTCAACACAATATATGGAAAAAGGTGGTTGATGGTGTTCTTCCTATAATCTAGATCTACATTTAGGTGTTTTCATAAGCTGTCCTTCTTTATTTTTTTTTTAAAGATTTTATTTATTTATTCATGAGAGACACAGAGAAAGAGAGGCAGAGACACAGGCAGAGGGAGAAGCAGGCTCCATGTAGGGAGCCCGATGCGGGACTTGATCCTGGGCTGAAGGCGGCACTAAACCGCTGAGCCACCGGGGCTGCCCAGCTGTCCTTGTTTAGATTCGGGTATGCTATTTATAATTTTGTCTGTGTCCAAGTCCCATTTATGTATAGAGATTTATTCTATATGGCAATACCAGTTATGCATAAAGCTTCTGAGTTTTTTCTTTTTTTAAGGATTTATTTATTTAGAGGGAGAAAGAGACTGAAGAAGGGAGGGGCAGTGGGATAGGGAGAAAGATCCTTAAGCAGACCCCACACTGAGTGTAGAGCCAGATGCAGGGCTTAATCTCACAACCCTGAGATTATAACTTGAGCTAAAAGCAAGAGTTGGACATTTAAGTGACTGCCTCACCCAGGTGCCCCAGCTTCTGAGATCTTAATAAACTGCAGAAACTCTGACTGCCACATAGTACAATAGTAACATGTCCTCATGACCAAGCTGGACTTAATAACTATAAAATCTGCTTGAAATTAGTACAGTAACGGAGTGCATTCTTTTTATTCCAGAAACAAAACAGAGTGGCACCTGTCACCACAGCATTGAAATATTATTTTATGATGCCCTTATGTATGGTAGATAAGACACAATATGAAACTGTAGCAAGGCAGCAGGCTACAAGGCTAAGGATCAAAAATTAACTGCCTTCCTAGATACCAAGATACTTAATGTTTAAGTGAATTGATGATTAAAAATAAAGTACCATTTACATTAGGACCAAAACAAAAGGTACAAGCACAGACACTCATGAAGACATAACATCAATAACAGATTTTCAAGGCCAAAGTCCATAATAAAGTAATCTCATCAAGAAATCTGAAAGACTGGGACGCCTGGGTGGCTCAGCAATTGAACATCTACCTTTAGCTCAGGGCATGATCCTGGAGTGCCGGGATCAAGTCCCCCATCAGGCTCCCTGCATGGAGCCTGCTTCTCCCTCTGCCTATGTCTCTGCCTCTGTCTCAATAAATAAAATCTTAAAAAAGATACGTAAAAGACTAAAAAAATAAAAAATATATATAAAAGATTAATAAAAAAATCATATAAACTGAAGATTAGTAGGTCATTCCACAGATATTGCTGCTCCTTTGACACCCATCACCCATCATTCTAAAACATTTTGACTTTTAATTTTCCTGTAGAGTGTAACATTTGATTTGATTAATCTTCAAGTAAACTTAGTTCATACTGCTAGAATTCTCTGATGCATAGTACATTGTGAAACCTGCTTAAGCAAGATACCCAGCATTTTATTTGTAAGGTTTTCTCCAACATGAAATCTTTGGTGAATATTGAGGCTAGGCCATGGCATGAAAGCTGTGCTACATTCTTTGGTGAGGTTTCTTTTCAGTATGACTTCCCTTAGGACTCCAAAGGTGAGACTATTTAGTAAAAGCCTTACCACACACATTACATCTATGTCTTCACTGTATGTATGTATATTCTGGTATCTGCTCAGGCTTGAACAGTGCTTAAAGGATTTGCAACATTCACGACATTTAAAAGTTTTCTCTCTGGTATGAATTCTCTGATTCCCAAGGTGTAAACATTTAATAAAAGTCTTACCACACACTTTATACTTGTATTTTTACTCTATGTGTATTATGGTGTTTGTTGATGCTTGAGTAGTGTTTAAAGGCTTTACCACATTCTTTACATTTATAAGGTTTCTCCCCAGTATGAATTCTTTGGTGAACAGTAAGGCTTGCATTCTGACTAAAGGCCTTTTCACAAACATTACATTTATAGGGTTTCTCTCCATCATGAACTCTCTTATGTTGAGTAAGATTGGAACTCCTGATAAAGTCCTTGCCACACACATTACATTTGTAAGGTTTCTCTCCAGTATGAATTCTCTCATGACTCCAAAGGTATGACCGTGTGGTAAAATCCTTACCACAGTGATTACACTTGTAAGGTTTCTCTCCGGAATGGATTCTCTTATGTTGAGCAAGATTTGAACCGCTAGAAAAGGCTTTGCCACACTCACTACATTTGTAAGGCTTCTCTCCTGTATGAATTCGCTCATGACCCCAAAGCTGTGAAGGTATCATAAAATTCTTACCACATACATTACATGTAAATGGTTTCTCTCCAGTATGAATTCTCTTATGAATACAAAGGTGTGAACGTGTGGCAAAATCCTTACCACACTGAATGCATTTGTAAGGTTTTTGTCCAGAATGGAAGTTCTTATGTTGAGCAAGATATGAACCATCAGAAAAGGCTTTGCCACACTCATTGCATTTGTAAGGCTTCTTTCCATTATGAATTCGCTCATGACCCCAGAGATGTGACTGTGTGGTGAAATCCTTACCACATACATTACATTTATATGGTTTCTCTCCAGTATGGATTCTCATGAGATTTGAGAACCTCTTAAAGGCTTTGCCACACTCATTACTTTTATAAGGTTTCGGCTCAGAATGAATTCTTTGATGATTAGCTAAGGTTGAGCAATGGCTAAAAGTCTCCCCACACTCACTACATTTATAAGGTTTTTCTCTTTTGGGTGTTTTCTGTTGTTGTGTCTGTAATGAAGGATGCATAAGAACCTTCTCGTATTTATTTAAAATGTTGGTTTTGACACTAGAAGGAATTCTTTGAAGTGGTGAAACTGAGGACATTTTGGTAGACTTCTCAACTTGATTATTTTCATAAACTTCCTCATGGGTTTGAAATCTCTGCAGTTGAGCCATATGTGAATGAGAGCTTAATCCAAGCCTATTGTCCAAAGGGTTTCTGTACTTGCTTCCTGAATAGCCCAGCTTGTTTTTTAGTGCCTTACTCACCATACAATGTTTGTAACATTGAGATGTACTTCTTCCTATGGAAACATTGTCTTTTACAGGAAAATCATTATAGAATTTATGATCTTGATGTTCTCTATAGATGAGATTTTTATAATGGGTTGCAGTGTCTTCTTCATATTTTTTTTCTTCAGATAACCACTGAGTCCCAAATTTGTTCACATCTTGGACTTTTCTCAAGTCAAAATCATCAAACTGATGACTTAAGTGTCTTTCCAAAATTAAAGTTTGGAGTAATTCTCCATTACTTAGGTCATCTTTTGGTGGTAATTCTTTTCTCACACATATAGTAGGGATATCTGTAAGATATAAAAAATCATAAATTCCTATTAATCAAAGTTTGAAAATGGACATTTTATAATAAAAAGTATTATACCAAAAATAAAACTCATAATTATAGAGTTATTACATTTGTCAACCATGGTGTATGCAAATGATCAGAAATGCAAAGGATGTAAGATTTCTCAGTAAAGAAAGGCTGATTACAGGTACTTCATATTATTTTCAAGGAAGCCTATTTATAATGCTCTGTGATCAAAAGTTATGACAGCCCTGAACACTTAGGAATTTTCTACAGGTACCTCAAAGACCAAAGCAACCCTACAGGAGGCATAAAGCTGGCTCATATTTATTTTTTTTAAAGATTTTATTTATTTATTCACAAGAGAGGCAGAGACATAGACAGAGGGAGGAGAAGCAGGCTCCTTGCAGGGAGCCTGACACAGGACTCGATCCTAGGTCTCCAGGATCACACCTCAAGCCAAAGACAGATGCTTAATTGCTGAGCCACCCAGGTGTCCCAAGGCAGCTCATATTTAAAAGAAACATATATCTAATTATCGAATACTTACTATACATAACAGTAAAACAAAGTTTTAAGAATAATAAAATATTCTTCTGATACTTGCTATAAAAAACTACATCCATGCAGAATAGGCATACTGCAATGTTAATATTCAGAGTCATGTGCTTATATTCCATAATATATGCTATAATTATCTATTAATCATGAAAAAATAAACATTTTAGTAACCCTAAACAAATATAGCAATTATTAAGAAATGTGTATATTTGTAAGAAATATATATAAATGTTAGAATTTTAAAAATTAGCCTATAATAAAAAAAGAAAGGTTGTATTTCAGAAGACACATACAATATCATAACTGGAAAATATGTTAAAATCACCCATTTTGAAATAGAAGTTCTGATAAATATGTAATATTTCAAAGATGACAATGGGGCTCTGTGACATGGAAATGGCAAAGAAGGGAACTCCAAATGTACCTCCTCTACAAAGGCAGAAGTGAACTACCAAAACATTTCAGAATCAACTTTATAAGAACTCTGGAAATTAATTACAGGATTCCAGCAATATGGCACACTCTTTTTTTTAGAGATTTTATTTATTTGAGAGATAGCATGAGCAGGGCAGGGGCAGAGGGAAGCAGTCACCCTGCTGAGCAGGAAGCCCAATGTAGGGATAAATCCTGAGACCCTGGGATCACGACCTGAGCCAAGGCAGATGGCTCAACCACGGAGCCATGCAGGTGTCCAAATAAAATCTTAAAAAAAAAAATTATGCATGAGTTTCCTTGTATTTCTGAGGTGACCACAGTCACTTCATAACAAAAGCACAGTCTCAAGATAGCCAATATGCTCAATTTTATAAATCCAAATTCATTCAAATGAGAAATGTATTTGTCAATAAGAAGGTATTAACTCAAACAAAACAAATGTAGGAAGGATAACTATGATTATATTTTTACCAAATTCCAGAGGTTATATAGATTTTTGGATAAAGCCTGCTCCTTGATACCCCTTAGCACTCAGGAAGGAAATCTTGTAAAATATATGAAACATTCATTCTCTAACCAAACAGCCCCACAAATTACAAGTATCAAAGAAAGAACTCTGGTGAATATCATCAAAAGTACATAATAAATGATTAAATACATAAATAACTTCATTTGTAATACATGGAAATCTGTGGATCAATGTAACAGTATTTGCTGTATGAACTACAGAAATGGATTAGAGTTCAATAAGGTAAGCAATGTGAACTCAAATTCCCTCAACACAGTAAATCAACATTTTATTTGTTGAAGAAAGAACAGCAGCATACATACAGAATGAACACTGTTGCATAAACAATAGTTTGGTCAGGAGTCTTTTAGATGGGGTTATGAAGGCTGACAATTTTCTCCCTAGAATAAATTCCTGTACTTGTTCACACCAAATCAAGGGGGATGATCCTTATTGTACTCCATCAACATTGCCACAATGCCCTTGAGACACACTTCCATGACACCAAAAGCCAGGACAACTGGAGCCATAAGCTAGACTCTCAGGCTGCACTCAATTTCAGCATCTGGAATACTCTCTACTCAGTGCTTCAGAGCCCACGTCTCTACTTAACAGGATGATGCTGTGACACCTAAATGTAAGTTTTCTCCATCCAGAATGTTCTTTGAGCCAGTAAAACTCCTCATGGGAGACTTCACCACAACCTGTCTAGCACTGAAAAGCTGGATTATCATAGCAGAAAATACAAGGATAAAATTTCAGACACTGAGGAACTGTGGTTCAGAACCAAGAAAACTTCAGAGGCAAAACCATCTAAACTTATAGGAGACAAATCAGGAAAAAACCAAGGTTTTTCCCACATTCACAGACTAAAAAGGAGCTGCAAGAGGAAGACAAAAATGAAAGTAAAGTAAGGGGTCTGATTTTCGTGGGATGTTCAAAGAGGATCTCGGGTCTGACTACAGAGTTCAGACTGACGGCCTGAAGCTTGAGGTACAGTCCCCACGAAAGACTGGGAATCAAAGGTTTTCCCCAACCCACTATCCTGTACATAGAAGAGAGTGAAGGAAGGGGAGAACAAGTTACTTTGAGAGTCCATGAAAAGTCAACTCTCCTAACCATTGCTCTCATCTGGGGATAATATCCCAAATGACAATTCAGGAAGACAATTCCTCTCTGCAATCTGACCCTTACTTCTGTTACATCTTTGACACCTTCCCACCCATCTGGGTTTTATTGCTAGTTTATTGTTTGTTTGTTTTTTTAAGATTTTACTTACTTATTCATGAGAGACACAGAGAGAGGCAGAGACATAGGCAGAGAGAGAAGCAGGGTCCCTGTGGGGAGCTCGATGAACTCTATCCCAGGATCCTGGGATCGTGGCTGGAGCCAAAGGCCATAGCTCAACCACACAGCCACCCAGGCGCCCCTGGTTGCTAGTTTCTCCCCACTCTTGAGGTACCAGAGCTCTCCCCTGCTCCACACTCAAGTTCATATTCAGCTCAGAAAAAGATTCTTGCTGACATGGAAACTGGTAGATGATGTCCTGGGGTTTTCCCAGCCCTTTGTCAGCTGAGACTAAGGACTTCAATTACAGATGGTATAGAATAGAATTACACAAATTTTCTCAGTGACACTCTTCTTCCAGATGCTTAAATGTTTGACGTACACAGATATCTAGCTCTCTTCCCAGAACTACTGAATCAAAATTACAGGAGTAAAACCAGGCAAGCTGGTATTTTAAAGTTTTGACATAAGTTCTTGTTCCTCCTCAACCTCTAGCACCACCAATTTGCGTGATTATCTCGGTTTAAAATCCAGGAACCACATCATGAAGCTTTTCATTTCTGAATCAACAGGGCTTCAATCTGAGTCAAACAAGGCAGTGGCTCCCAAGAAATTCTCAAGAAACACAAAGATAAACTAGGGAAGTTTGAAACTAATCTCACCCAAGGAGACCAGGTTCCTGTAGTTCTCCAACATCACATCCCTGTACAGGGCTCTTTGGGCAGGAGCCAGGTACTCCCACTCCTCCTGAGAGAATTCTATGACCACATCCTTGAATGTCAATAGTTCCTGAAATGAAAGCACATTTCACCAAGGGGCCATCAGGAGAGTACTTATTTCATAAAAATGAGAGGAGGACAGAGTAGCCAGATAAATACATAAAAGATCATTTGCACAAGTCATATATTCCCAATGTTGGTTTCTTACACTTTCCCAATAGCAAATTTCCATCAGCTAAACTACTTAGTTTTATAATATTGTGCCAGATAAAATACACTAAAGAAAAACTTCAACAAATGGTAAACTATGTGTAAGTTCTAGATAGTATCTTGTAAATACCATATGAGAGCTAATTTCTACATAAGCTACAGCATGAGTAGTGTCTTCAGGGATGACCAAGTACACAGTAGCGTCAATGAAAGGTGAAAACTGGAAAAATGGGAAGCTGATGATAAGAGAATGACCAGAAGTTTTGACACTCCCCATATAATAAGCATTACTTTAATACTTTAAAATGTTAACTTGTATAAGATATAGCATCCAGTTAAATGAGTATTTGTTCCCATTTTACACAGGACCCAACTCTGTCACACACACACTCTAAGGAATATGCCTCTGGTCAAATAGGTAATAAATTGCAAGACCCTGCACCTGAACCAGGGGGTCGGGCTTTAGGATGGAACCCACACCACCACACGGTGAAGTAACAAACACAACAGTAAAAGTCTGTTGACAAAGAGGGTTTACTAATGGAGAAAACCTGAAACAAGTCCAAGGCTGAAACACAAACCTGGATGAAAGGCCAATATACATACATGCATACACACATGCATAAACACACTATTTTTACTGCTATTAACTTTTTTATGTGGTACTATAGAAAATATTTAAAGCCATGAAAAATATCTCAGACATACTGTCAAGATAAAATAAAGGTTATTTATGAGATGATAACATCTTTTTTACATACTACAGGCTCTGGCCCATACACACTTTTGCACACAGGAACAAACACACACTGAAAATAACTGAGATCAAAGCTGTAGTCTCTAGATGACACCTATTTTTAGAATATCTCTTTGTTATCCTTTTTTATCCAAGTTCATTTGAGTATTTCTGGTACAATAAACATGCATAAATTGTATTAAACGTAAAGAACACTGTCAGTGTTACTCTATTTAGCCTGCTTACACAAATAACGCTGTGAAAAATTTTTTTGGAATAACATTTCACTTCTACCTCCATTAAATAAATGTACGGAAGTGTATGAGCTGGAATGCACATGCAGAGAGCTGCTGAAGGAAGGCCCTGGGGTGAATGTGAGCAAATACATCAGGAGAGACACTTGAGAGGGAAAAGAGCTAGCCCAAGTGGAGGTGAGGACGCAGAGGACAGAACAAGGAACTGAGCTAGGACTTTACCTGAGAAAGAGTCATTCCTGATTCTTAGGCTTTCCTCCTCTGCCTCCTCTGGGCTTCTCTTCCAGGCGAGATGGGCCTTGAGACAACAATCCTGAGTGTCAAATATACACTGTTTAGCGCTTAGTCAACGTACACGTTTCTGTGCCACAACCACACACACAGGAAGATTTCCCCACGTGGTAGTCAATCCTCTGCTGCCCACTGCCACAGGAGGAATGCAGGGACAGTAGACTGCTACACAGAGACCAGCAAGTGAGCATTCTGGCCTCTTACTGCAGAACTCACTTCCCTCCTGGTGAAGCACACACCTGAGCTGCAGCAGTGGGGATCTATGCACCCTCCCTTTAAAGTCACAGACCCACCCTGCTAACCCCCCATACAGAGGACGAGGACACACAGCACTTTCTACCTCTCTCTAGATCAGGGGCTGCTTTCAGTCCTCATTAATGGAGGAGCCAGAGCCCTGGGGCTTGATGCTGGATACAGAGGCTGGCCTCTATTGCTCCCAAACACAAGAAGAGAAATCTCTGTGGACTGGGCATAGGAAGATTATGCAAAATGCCTCAGCAATGCAATGGCAAGTCAGGGTGGAGCACCACTCCAAGGAAACCAGCTGCCCACCCCACCCACCTGTGGTTCTGCTACCTCCTAGGGCCCTGTCCCCTGTATCTAGATGGTGCAAGAGGAAGGAGCAGAGAGACTCATGCTGAACAGGCATTACAGGCCAGAGCATGGAGTGGGGATGAGGCTGGAATGGGACATGGCAGTGTGCGAGATGGCCTCACTAGAAGGTGATATAACAAAGACCTGGAGAGGAAGTTCACCATGTACATTCGAGGAATTTGAGAATTCTAGGCAGAGGGACCACCTTAGGAAAGCCCTAAGAGGGAGTCCTGACCCTGGCCCCAGGAACAGCAAAGATATCTGTGGGCCTCAATCCCAGTGAGGGAGGAGACCAGCATGGGATCAGATCACAGAAGTAGATCAGGAATGTCCAGCGTGGTCTTCTGACACTGTTCTCCTCCACCCCACGTGAATCTTGGAAGCCGTGTACTCTTTCACCGATATTGCCTTTTTCTCCCCCTCACTATGTATTACAAAAAAATGTAATGTGCTATGTATTTTGAAAGCCTGCCAAGATGGTCACCAAAGCCCAGGAAGATGGCACTACTCTGAACTGGGAGGTGGAGGACCACAGGGAACACAAATGGAACACCTCTAGGAAACAGGAGGTCATGTTTGGACACTGTAAGTGGAGATGTCCCAATAGAAATGTCAGAGACACAGTTGGACAACACAATCTGGCATTCAAGGCAGAGGTCTGAAATGGAATGTAAACCTGGGAGACCTCAGGGTGTTTAAAGGCCAGAGATAAGGGGATATCAAAAGTCCCTGGGTGTACAGAAGAGGTCCATGACTATCCCATGGGGTGCTCTTCCCATCAGAGAACAGAGTTGAGGAAAAATCGGCAGAGGAAGTGAATCAGCTGAGAAGTGAACAGAGTGGAGAGAAGAAAATTAAAACACACACAAATAAAAGATGACATCTGTCAATACTGGATGTCCCGAAAGTCAGGATAAAATATCTTTAAAATAAGGAGAGATTACTGTTCAACATGTTGCTAATCAGATAGATAAAGACAGTGAGTTAGCCAGTTTTAGAAAACGTAAAAGCACCAGATCAGTTTCCTGTCCACAATTTCTTTGGGTAGGTACCCACAGGTGGATCTGGTGGATTATCTGAAAATGCTGTTTATTTTTTTAAAGAAATCACTAACATTTTTTCAATAGGGAACACACCATTTATAGTCCTTGGAGTAGTGCACAATACTTTCAGTTTCATCCCATTCTCTCCAGTGCTTATCATCTTTTGAACCGTACCCATTTTTTTTTTTAGCATAGCCCCACAAGGGGGCATGATTTGAGTTGCAGTCCCCTAATCATTAGGAACATTGAGCATGTCTACATGAACTTACTGGCCATCCATCTGAAGAAATATCTATTGTGGTCTTTTGCCTACCCTTTTTTTTTTTTTTTGCATTAATCTATTTTTCTTTTGTTGTCTTGCTTTCTGCTGTCATATCCAGAAGTCTGGATTTTTATACATGAGGGCGATGGGAAGCCAGTGGAGAGTTCAATGCCAGGGTTTGACAAGACCTGACTTCAGATTTACTCTGTAAATGTATCCTCTGGCTCTGAGCCTCGGCCTTGCCTCTTTCCTCACAGTATTTTTCATTGTTGTTGGGTTAGGACCAACTTAATCTTCTAATCACAACTGTAACCATCCTGCAGAAAAATACCACACAGACACACATGCAAAATTTCAGTTGCTTTAGGGATCACGGTCATTCAGATTTCCTGCTCTTGTCCTTCATCTCCATGCTGCAGCTGGGTTCACCAAGCCCTAGGAGGGAAGCCTTTTCACAAGTTACCTTGAGAACACCTGAGTTCAGTGGGAACTACATGTAACTGAATTTTGGAAGGGTGGCCTAAATGAGGCATGGGGCACTTTGCCTTTATCCTTATCATCTCATGTCTTTTTCAAAAAGTCCATGTGCCTGGCTGTCTCAGTAAGTACAGCATGGGACTCGAACTCTGGATCCACAGAGCAAGCCCCATGTTGGGGTGGAGCTCACTTAAATAAATTGGTAAATAAATATAAAGTGCACTCCCTTAAAAAAAAAAAAAAAAAAAAAAGGACACACACGCAAAAAAAAACCCCAAAAACATTAAAAAATGAAAAATTCCAGAATCATCTAAAATATGCCTGAGCAAAAGAAACTTCTTTCATGGTCTTAATCAATGGGGAAATATTTTTTAATATATTTTTTAAATTTATTTATGATAGTCACACAGGGGGAGAGAGAGAGAGGCAGAGACACAGGCAGAGGGAGAAGCAGGCTCCATGCACCGGGAGCCCGATGTGGGATTCGATCCCGGGTCCCCAGGATCGCGCCCTGGGCCAAAGGCAGGCGCCAAACCGCTGCGCCACCCAGGGATCCCAGTGAGGAAATATTTTTAACATGATAATTCAAAAAATGATAAATCAGATTTAGTACTGAATACTGTGAAAGTGGATCAGCTACGGAAACAAACTCTGAGCCTATTACTTCACCATGAATAGATCAGTTCTACTGGAACAAAGTTCATAGTCCATCCAGCCCACCTTCATTATGTTCATACAACGGACCTGTGGGACCTGAAGGGAACATCTATTTTGGAGCTGACATCTTACTTATTAGACCAATCACATCAAGGAAGGAGAGATGCTGTCAAAGATTACACTAACTTACTAAGCTAGGTTCTGATTATGTAGATCATGGACACCCTTACCAGATACACACTGTAATAGTCCAAAATCATTTACTAACGACAAAGGAATATTCCAACATATGGTAACAAGTAGAAAGAACGCAGGGCTTGTCACTTGAAGCACATAAAAAATATTTTTTAAAACCAGGTTGGAATTTTTTAAAAATCTAGTATCTTCTGGGGTCAAAGCTTTAATTTCTTTTTCTTTTTCTTTCTTTTCTTTTCTTTTTTTTTTTTTTTTGAGAGGGAGAAGGTGAGAGAGTATCCCAAGCAGACTCCACCCCCAGCACAGAGCCTTAGCTGGGGCTCTGACGACCCTGGGATCATGATCTGAGCTGGTATCAAGGGTGTCAAGAGTCAGATGCTTAACAGATTCAGCCACTGAGGCAACCCATGGGGGTCAAAGCTTTCACCATAATGCAACCACCTAGTATTTAGAAAAGATTCACAAGAGCTGGCTTAAGATGTCGCCAAAGCTTATCGCAGAAGCTTGTAATGATTCTTTACAGAATAGATGTCCAATACACCTCAATTTGGTTTAAAAAAACTAAATGTAAACGAAGTAGCAAGAAAAAGTAAATCCATTTAAAAGAAAAAGAAACACTTTTAATGTTGCTTTAAAAAGCATCATGCACGGACTCATTCTGTAATTTGTAATTCTAGGCCATCTTCCCATGCCATCCCAGGATAGGAGGGTGACCCATAAGACTAAGACAGTCTCTCTCCTCTCTCTGGCCAATTAAAGGTAGCAAATACAAGCTAACTTATAACGCTAATAATTATAAAGCACACGAGCCTTACAAGCAGTTCTGTAATTTTCTTTCTCATCTGTTCAATTCAACCAAGCAAATTTAAAGTTGAATGCCTAATGGAGACACAAGTCCCTGTATCACAACTTAATCACCATGTCCCATTAACCAGCACCCACCCAGATCTGGGTTCCCCTGCTTTCTCTCTCCGAAGGATTTCTATTCATCTGTTCGGGTCTTTCTCTCTCCTGATTCTGGCCGCTGGTTCTCCTTTTCTGTGATTCCCCTGTCTCCTCTCTTGCTTTCTCTCCTTTTCTCTCTTCCTTTCCCTACACCAACACTTTCTGGGGAACTCTGGAAATCCTTAGTTGCTTCCAAGCGCTCCGACCGTTGGGATCTCTACATATTTCGGCCTCGCCCCCCCCCCGCCCCGCCCCACCGGTGTCCCTCTGCTCTCCCCGTCCCCTCCCCTCTTTCCTCTTACACCGCCCCCCCCCCAGCTCCGACTCACTGGCTCCCCGTCTGGCTAAGCTCTCGCACTGCCGCCGCTTTCTGTCCCCGCATCGCCTGCCCACAGCTTTTTCCTCCTTCCCACCGTGCGTGGGAAGTTCCTCGCCCTTGCTGCCCCCCTTCTGTTCACCAGGGACCCCTCCTAGGGGGTCCCCTTCTTCTGGAGCGCCTCCCTTTCCTCCACATTTCGCGGCGACGTTCCCGAGTTCCTGTCTTCCGCCCTTAGGGCCTCGTCGCCAGTCCCTCCCGCATCCTCCAGCTTGCCGTATCTTTACGGACCCTCTCTCTGATCTCTCTCCTCTCTCCCTCTTTCTCCCGCTCCTCCTCTCCCTCGTCGGCCGCTGTCCTGGCCTCCCTCCCGCAGCCACGGCTTCCACGAGGCCCCCCAATCCTCGCCTGGGGGAGGGGACCCGCTCCGTGACTCCCCGCCGCCTCCCGGACCTAAGTCCCTCCTGAGAGCCCGCCCCGAAGAGAGGGCCCTTCCCGGGCATCGGTCCTCTCTCCACAGGCGGGGCTGCCCCGCGGAGACCTCAGGAGGCTGGGGGTCTGCGCAATCCCAGGGCCAGGGCCAGCCGCCGGGCCGGGCTGCGGGGCGAGGCGCACGCGCCCCTCTCCCTGTTCTCACGCGGCGCGAGGGGCAGGGGCGCCGGGGACTGCGTGGGCCCGAGGCTCGGAAGACCCCAGGCGGGGATGGCCTCTGCACCAGCTGAACCAAAACCAGCCGGACCTCCGGGGCCGCAGCGCCGCCCGCAGGGATCCGTGTCTCTCGGCGACGCGGGACTTACCGCGGTGGGAGGCGCAGGTGAGGGGACGCTAACGTGCGTGGAGAACCCAGATCCCAGGGTGACAGGTTTGGGGACTGAGACGCTCAGGTAGAAAAGAGAAAGTTAAAAACCCTCAGAGGCCGATTTGACGTTCGCTCCAGTCAGCCGCTTCCGGGTCGGTGAAGAGCGGCGCCTGCGCGCCGAGGGAACAGCGGGTTAGACGCAGGCCCGTGGGTGGTGCTTCCAGCAGGGGTTGGAGTGTGAACGCCGCCCAGACCGCGAAGAGCACAGCGGGTGGGCGGGCCTGGGGCGAGGCCTCAGCGTAGCGCTTCCGGCAACAGGAGGGACGCACTGGCTTCCCAGGCCTTGGCCCTGAACCCGCGGACAAGTTGGGGCGGAAGTACGCACCAGCGCTTCCGGTAAGGAGAGAAAATCTGAAAGGACCCGTGGAGCTGAGGTGTTGGGGGGCGTGGCCTGGCGGAAATTGGGTGGAGAACTTTCGGTGCTGCTTGATCGGGAAGGTTTGCCCTAGCTAGGATTTCCGGAGGGAGGCCAGGACCAATCAGCGGGGTGGACAGTGCCTGACTTCCTCTGGGCCCCACCCCCCAGGAAATTTTTTTTTTTTTTTTTAATTTCTAACCCTTTCTGTTTCTTTTGCCTCCAGTGGGAGGGGACTGCTTCATGCCTATTTAAGTTCATGTTTGAACAGTTTGAGGTAAAGGGTGGAGTTGTGTGGGATATATTGTAGAAAGTTAACCTGGTTACCAGGGTGAAAGAGGCTTTCCTCAAAACCTGTGAGAACACTAAATAGCTTTTGGCAAGAATGTGGAGAAAAAGGAGCGCTCCTCAACTCTTTTTCCTAATGCAGACTGGTGCAGATACTGTAGAGGACATTGTGATTTTATTCCAAAAGTTGAAAATACAACTACCTTACTACCCAGTTATTGAAACTATTGGGTATTTACCCAAGGGATTGGGAAACACTGAATTAAAAGGATATTTGCACCCATATGTTTATTGTAGCATTATTTATAATAACAAAATTATAGTAGCAAAGAAGTGTCCATCATCTGATGAATGGATGAGAAGATGTGGAATGTATATACAATGGAATATTGATCATAAAATGGAGTGAAATCTAAATCTTGGCCTTTGCAACACCATGGATAGAGTTAGATAGTATAATGCTAAGTGAAATAAGTCAGCCAGAGAAAGACAAATACCATATGATTTCACTCATATGTGGAGTTTAAAACCAAAAAAAGAAAAAAAGAAATGAATTAAAAACCAGACTTTTATCTACAGAGAAAAATTGGTGGTTACCAGCAAGAAGGTTGAGGTCAGGGATGGGAGAAATAGGTGATGGGGATTAAGACTAAACCCATCATGATTAATGTACAGAATTGTCAAATCACTATATTGTACACCTCAATATAAAACTGAACTATATTGGAATTAAAATTAAAAACTTAATTTTAAAAAAAAAACCTCTTTTGATGAAGAGGTAGAGATGGACTCTAGTTGGGACCAGGTCCTCCATGGGGAGTTATGTGAGACATGGCTGGATCCAGTAATATTTCCTGCTTTAGAAGTTAAGCAATTTAAATAAGCATGGAATGCACCTGTCTATGCAATAGATGCAGACTGAAATGTGCAAAACTATACCAATGCAAAAATGTGTCATTATTTATTTATTTTTAAAGATTTTATTTATTATTTATTCATGACAGACATAGAGAGAGAGAGGCAGAGACACAGGCAGAGGGAGAAGCAGGCTCCATGCCGGGAGCCTGATGCGGGACCTGATCCCAGGACCCCAGGATCATGCCCTGGGCCAAAGGCAGGCGCTGAACCGCTGAGCCATCCAGGGATCCCATAATGTGGCATTATTTAATAACATTTTTCAGAACATAATTTATATTTTTGTCCCCATTCACCATGTACTCAATCATGTATTCATTTCTATAGATGTTCATAGACATAAGACCTGGGGTGTGGGAGATGAGGGATAGATGTGATAATTTAGGTCACCAACCATTGCTTTAAAAAAGTTTTTTTAGGTAAGCCCAGGTGGCTCAGCGGTTTAGCGTCGCCTTCAGCCCAGGGCGTGTTCCTGGAGACCCAGGATTGAGTCCCACCTCAGGCTTCCTGCATGGAACCTGCTTCTCCCTCTGCCTGCTTCTCCCGCTGCCTGTGTTGTGTCTCTGTCTCTCTCTCTGTTTCTCGAATAAATAAATAAAATCTTTTTAAAAAGTTTTTTTAAATATAGATCTAACTTGAGTTGTTCAATATAGTTGTGAACATATTCCACACTTGTGGTGACTGATAAAAATTACTTTCAGGTAAACCTTCGTGACACCATAATCCATTTCTAAATACAATTTCTAAACATAATTTCAAATTCACTTTATATTTATTTATTTTTATTTTTTTTTTAATTTTTATTTATTTAGGATAGTCCCACAGAGAGAGAGAGAGAGGCAGAGACATAGGCAGAGGGAGAAGCAGGCTCCATGCACCGGGAGCCCGATGTGGGATTCGATCCCGGGTCTCCAGGATCGCGCCCTGGGCCAAAGGCAGGCGCCAAACCGCTGCGCCACCCAGGGATCCCACTTTATATTTATATATAAATATAAATATATACAATATAGTGATTCAACAATTCCATTAATCACCTGTGTTCATCAAGACAAAAAGCACTCTTTAATCCTCATCACCTATGTAACCAGTCCCTCGCCCACCTCCCCTATGGTAACCACCAGTCTGTTCTCTATAATTAAGAGTCTGTTTGGGATCCCTGGGTGGTGCAGCGGTTTGGCGCCTGCCTTTGGCCCAGGGTGTGATTCTGGAGACCCCGGATCGAATCCCACGTCGGGCTCCCGGTGCATGGAGCCTGCTTCTCCCTCTGCCTATGTCTCTGCCTCTTTCTCTCTCTCTCTCTCTGTGTGACTATCATAAAATAAATAAAAATTTTTAAAAAAGAGTCTGTTTCCTGGTTTAACTCTCATTTTTTCCCTTTGCTCATTTGTTTCTTAAATTCCACATAAGTCAAATCGTATGATACTTGTCTTACTCTTACTTTTTTCGTTTATCATTATACTCTACAGCTCCATTCATGTCATTGTAAATGGCAAGATTTCACTATTTTTTTATGACTGAGTAATATTTCATTTTGTGTATATAGAGAAATCAATATATAATAAACATATATCTCACATATTGATTCATCAGTTCTCTCTCTCTCTCTTTTTTAAGATTTTATTTATCTATTCATGAGAGACACAGAGAAAGAAAGGCAGAGACATAGGCAGAGGGAGAAGCAGGCTCCATGTAGGAAGCCCAATGCAGGACTCGATCCTGGGTCTGTAGGATCACACCCTGAGCCAAAGGCAGATGCTCAACCGCTTTATCTTGGCTGTTGTAAATAATGCTCCTATTATCATATGGGTACATGTAGCCCTTTGAATTAGTTTTTTTAATATTTTTTTAAAGATTTTTTTAAATTTTTTTAAATTTTTATTTATTTATGATAGTTACAGAGAGAGAGAGAGGCAGAGACACAGGCAGAGGCAGAAGCAGGCTCCATGCAGGGAGCCCAATATGGGACTCGATCCTGGGACCGTGGGATCACACCCTGAGCTGAAGGCAGATGCTCAACCGCTGAGCCACCTGGGCATCCCAGTTTTTTTGTATTCTTAGGTAAATACCCAGTAGTGTGATTGCTGGATCATTGGGTATTTCTATTCTTAACTTGAAGAACCTCCATACTGTTTTCCACAGTGGTTGCATTAGATTGCATTCCCACCAACAGTGCACAAGGATTCTTTTTTCTCCAAATCCTCACCAACACCTATTGGGATAGAAGAGCACAGGTGGGGGTGGTCTCTGAAAGATTTAAAACCAAACTAACTGGGACCTACAGCTGCCAGTACCAGCAGCAGGGTTCTGAGTGTCTGTCCAGGACCCAGGACTTACCTCAGTGGGAGATGCAGGTGAGGGGACTCTAACGTGCTTAGAGACTCCAGACTCCAGAGGTGTAGGACTGGGGACACTGAGGTAGAGAACAGAAAGCTGAAAACCCTCAGAAGCCAATTTTATCTTGGCTCCCTGCCAGCCACCTTTTGCGTGGGTAAAAAACTGCTTGTGTGGGCAGGTGGAATGATGGGACTGGGACAGGGACTGTGGAGAGCATTTTCGATAATGGGTGGGGTGCAAACAGTGGCCTGGCTGGAGAAGATCCACTGGTGGGCTGGGTTGGGGCAGAACCTGGGTGGAGCGCTTACCACAAGGACAGGAGATTGGCACTGGCCAGGCAGTGGCCCCACACTGCTGGGCGGGAGAGAGCAGTGCTTTGGAGGAATGCTTCTGATAATGGGAGAGAAACTGAAATGGCAGGTGGAACCAAAATGGCTGGAGGGCTGGGCCAGTGCAGAACCTGGGTGGAGAGTTCCTCCAAGATGTCTTTCTCTGGCATTTCTAATTGTTTGAATTTGTATGTTCTGTGGACTGCTCCCTCCCCATTTTAAGTTTATGCTTTCAACAGTTTCTATTAGAGCTTAGAGTTCTATGGCTACTGGTGTTGAATGTTTACAGTTTATCAAGGTGAAAATGGCTTTCCTCAAAAACAATTTCCATGACAAGAAACAGAACTGCTGGCAAGGATGTGCAGAAGAAGGACCTCTGGTCAACTGTTGGTGGGGATACAAAGTGGTGTAGCCACCATGGAAAAACAGTATGGAGGTTGCTCAAGAATGTGAAAGTGTACCTACTTTATGACCCAGTAATTGCACTACTGGGTATTTACCCATGGAATATGAAAATACTAACTCAAAATGATACATGTACTACAATGTTGATAGCAGCATTATTTACAATAGCCAAATTATGGAAAGCAGGTAAGTGGCCATTGGTAGGGGAATGGATAAAGATGTGAGATATATATGTGTATATATATGTATGTGTATATATATATATATATATATACACATACATACATAATGGAGTATTGTCACTCAGCCATAAAATAGAGTGAAATCTTGCCATTTACAATGACATGGATGGAGCTAGAGAGTATGCAAGTGAAATAAACTAGTCAGAGAAAAACTACCATATGATTGCACTTATGAAATTTAAAAAAGAAAACAAAAGAACAAAAGGGAGAAAAGACAAACTAAAAAATAGATGTCTTAAGTATAGAGAACTGGTGGCTACCAAAGGGGAAGTAGGTGGAGGATGAGAGAAATCGGTGATGGCAATTAATAGGAGTTC